GCCTGGTTTCCACCTGCCATCATGGGTGTAATTTGTTTGGTGTTTCTGATTATCTACTATCTAGATCAATCTGTTCCGTCCAGTGTTTCCTGTTTTGTTATGTTTTTGTGTTTGGCTGACTTGTTCCCATTCTAGTGTCTAGAATTTTTGGCTCCAATAAATGGACCACCGAACAACAGCAAAGATGAAATTTGCAGCAATCTAGTAAAAACTTGACACAGAGCTGTGGGCTGGTGGCTCTTGTGAAGGCTTTTTAATAGCAGACTTCCAAAAGATTATATTTAGGATTTTTAGCATACTTTTAATTTTACATTTTCAGCTGACTTAGCTATAATATATACAGTAGGTTGAGACTTATATCTATGACTTTTATTCCAAGACTAGCCAGTAAAGGCCAAAAGTCTTCTATGTTTAGTCAAGATTCATTTCAGTAGAAAATAATCTTATCTGACTAATTTTTGAGACCAGAATAAATAAAATCCTAATAAATAGGATTTAAAGGTAGTCCTCAAAATTCTCATTTTATAGTAATTACCTGGCTGCTTCAGTCCCCATAGGTTTGGTATAGGAGATAGTGACTACACTGGTGTCTGACTTTTTTCCTAGATATTCTTCCGAAAAATGCAAGGACTGTTGGTGACAACAGACTTGAGGTGGTGATAGTTGGCCTCTGATCTACTTAGATTTTGTAATTCCTTGGAAAGTCTCTTATAATCATTCTTTCCTTCTCAGTAGCTAGAAATTTATAGTAGTTGAAATTTATAAGAGTGAACCTCTGAGGGCCAAAAATGTGACATATTTCGGAACATCTCTTAAACTGATTAACTAGCTGTAATATAGTTTCGTGAATTTATTGCGTTGATGCTGTAAAACCTGTACCTTGTGGTATATCCGTCCCTATTAAGTGTTACTTTCTCCCCCTTTAATATTGCTGTAAACAGTGGTACCCATTGTAGCATATATTTGATTTTTTTAATGTTTCATGTGAAAACTACCTTAATTTTACATTTGTTTCCTCATTGTAAATAAGCCCATCTTCCTACCCAGATTTTTTTTGTGTATACAAGTTCTACTGAATTCTACTACTATTGCATTTCTAATCCTTTATCGTTTCTTCTACTTTGTTTTGTGTAAAAGGGAAGAATAAAAAAAGCTGGAATTTTTGTGTCCAAAAAAAAAAATCTTTGACCCCATGTCCTGCATCCTAGACACACATGTGTGAGGGGTGGGCTCCCAAGTCTTAGGCAGCCCCATCTCCATGGTTTTGCTGGGCACAGCCCATGGAGCTGCTCTCACAGTTTGGAGTCGAATATTTACAGCTTTTCCAGGCTGAGGTTGCACGTTGCTGGTAGCTCTATAATTCTGGGGTCTTGAAGGTGGCCCTGTTCCCACAGCTCCACAGTGCATTGCCCTAGTAGAGGCTCTCTGTGGTGACTCCATCCAGTGGCAGTTTCTGTCTGCACTCCCAAACTTTCTGATACATCCTCTGAAATCTAGATGGAAGCTGCCAAGCTTCCGCCATTCTTGCTTTCTGGATCCCTGCAGGCTTAACATGGAAGCTGCCAAGGCTTATGGCTTCTACTCTCTGGAGTGGTTGCCTGAGCAGTACCTGGAGCGGTCTGAGCTCCAGCTGCTCCAGCCTGAGTAGCTGGGATACAGGCAGCTACAACCCAAGGTGGCAACCCTTGTCTTGACTATTAGTACCTGCCTTCCTTTTAGTCATGTTAATCTCTTTAACAAAGGGTCCCTTGGCTGCACCCCTGGATTTCTCTCCTGAAAATGCTTTTTCCTTCTCTACCATATGGCCAGGGTGGGAATTTTCCAATTTTTTATGCTCTGTTTCCCATTTAATCATAAGTTCCACCTTCAGTCACTTCTTTGCTGCCATATGTGATCGTAAGTTGTTAAAAGTAGTCACACCACTTCTTCAATGTTTTGCTGCTTAGAAATTGCTTATGTCAGATACCCTAGGTCACCACTCTTTTTTTTCCTTTTTTATTTATTAATTCTTATTTCAGCATATTATGGGTGTACAAATGTTTAGGTTACATATATTGCCTTTGCCCCATCTGAGTCAGAGCTTTAAGCATGTCCATCCCCCACACGGTGCACACCGTACCCGTTAGATGTGAATATACCCATCCCCTCCTCCCTCCCATCTGCCCAACACCCAATGAATGTTACCACTATATGTGCATCCTAGGTCACTACTCTTAAGTTTAGCTTTGCACAAAGCCCTGGGGCATGGACACAATGCAGCCAAGTTCTTTGCCACAGCATAACGAGGGTGAAATTTGCTTCAGTTCCCAAAAACTAGGGCCCTTATACCCAATATTTAATATTATTAATGTTACTAACTCTATACAATCAATAACAGGCAAATATTTTGTTCTTATAAATTCAGCTAATATGTTCTGTTCCGTGCCTATTTCAACGGCCTCTCGACTGCAGTTTTCCTCTACCTCTGAAGGAACACAAGGTACCTTTTCCAGACTACACATAAGCAGCTCCAAGACTTTGCCATCACACACAAACTTTACAGACAACACCTTAAGTGCATCCACCTTCCTCCAGGAGCACACATAACAATACAGTGTAGAAATGGTTCGTCTTTATGTCGTGACAACAAAGAAAGGCAACCTTCGCGACAATTTCTCTTCTGACGCTCGTTTAATCCATGTGGAACCCATCTATCCAGCTTCTTTACCTTACCCATTTGTTTCAAATGGTCCAATATTGTTGGAATAGTAACGTCAAACCTTGCTGCTAATTCATGTGTAGGTTGGCATGGATTCGTTTCCGCTACGGCTTTCAGCTCATCATTATCCACCTTGATCTCAGGCCACCCACATGGCTCATTTTCAAGATGAAAATCACCAGAATGGAACATCTCAAACCATCGATGTGCTGTGCATTCATTAGCCACATCCTTCCCAAATACTTCGTTGATATTTCGAGCTGTTTGCGCTGCATTGGTTCCACGATGGAACTCGTATTCAAAAATAACATGAATTTTTGACTTATCCACGGTTTTACAAAAATTGCTCTAAAAACAAATTTGAAAGATAATCACAAGCCAAAACGTGTGTTTGAAAGACTGAGGATGTACCTTCACAATAAAAATAAAACAAGACGTGTCAAAGTGAAATGTAACAGATACCAACTGTCAAATGTAGTACTTCAGGAAATTGGACATTTCAAACTTAATAACTGAATACATAGTTGGTTTTTTTTTTTTTTTTTGAGAGTTGCCCAGGCTAGAGTGCCATGGCATCAGCCTAGCTCGCAGCAACCTCAAACTCCTGGGTTCAAGCAATCCTTCTGCCTCAGCCTCCCAAGCAGCTGGGACTACAAGCATGCGCCACCATGCCTGGCTAATTTTTTTTTTCTGTATATTTTTAGGTGTCCAGCTAATTTCTTTCTATTTTTAGTAGAGACAAGGTCTCGCTCTTGCTCAGGCTGGTTTGAACCGCCGAGCTCAAACTATCGTCCTGTTTTGGCCTCCCAGAGTGCTAGGATTATAGGCCTAGCACTGAGCCATGCGCCCAGTCCATAGAGCTTATTAATGAATCACTTAACAACTTCCAAAAATATAACAAGACCTGCCACCTTAATATATGTAATTCATACATTTAACGCATTTTACAACTCCATGAAGATATTAAAGACCCCCAAAAGTTCAGATCTATTTTCTGTATTCTTTTTTTTTTTTTTTTGAGACAGAGTCTCACTCTATTGCCTGGGCTACAGTGCAGTGATGTCATCATAGCTGACAGCAACCTCAAACTCCTGGCTCAAGTAATCCTCCTCCCTCAGCCTCCCAAGTAGCTGTAGCTGGGACTACAGGTATGCACCACCACACCTGGCTAATTTTTCTTTTCTTTTTTTTTTTTTGGTAGAGATGGGGGTCTCACAATATGTTGCTCAGGCTGGTCTTGAACTCCTGGCCTTAAGCGATTCTCGCACCACCTTGGCCTCCAAAGTGTTGGGATTACAGGCATGAGCCGCTGCGCCCAGCCTCATATCTAATGACATACAAACGAAAAACTTAGCTGTGGCCCAACCTACAAAGACTCCTTATACTTCCACGTGTGTTCTTCCTTCTTACTCTCATAATATAATATTTTGTAGGCTGTTTAGGGCAACTTATGCCCTACTCTCTAAAACTCTCCACTATCACCACCCTAAAGTTTACAATGATGCATAATAGTCACAGGGCCAATTGTTGTGTTTTCTTAGATTCTATATTTGTCTATCTGGCGTCTACTTTTCTCTGGCAGCAGACACAGCAGTGGAGAAGGCTGAGGCCCTTCTGGGGAATCTAGGCTCTACACTGTGTTCCAAAACCCCACTGAGTGTCCTAGACATGAATTAAGAACACTCAACCAAGGGTGTATCTCACTCCATTGAGCTTCATCTTCGTCCCTCAGCTCAACTTAGATGAGCGTGAAATGTCAAACTCAGGTGTTCCTTCCTTTTCTTGATGAAAATGTCAGTGTCTTGATGAGTTTCTACTTATATACCTTGGCTGTTTTCTTCCAAAACTAAGTTAGAGAGATTTTTCCAGATTTTTTTTCAACTCACCTTCTTTACTCAGAACTGCTTGTAGGAAAATTAAGTAATCATTCTGGTGAATTCTTTAAAGACGCTAGCTGAACAATTAGGGAAGCCACAACTCTGCCAAGTCAACAGTGTAAAAGTAGTGCAAGAAGATCCAGGGAATTCCTGCAGTTTTTGTTTCAAGATAATGAATTTTGCCGCCTTCTTCATGTCCACTATGGAAATGCTGAGTTTCATCACAATAATCTTTTCTAAGTAATAAAGGTTTTCTAGATATATCCTGAGAGATTTTCGTTGTTGTCGTTAAGAATAAAAGTATTGCAATTTTTCTGAATTCAAAAATGGAAGAAAATTTACCTGTGAACTACATAACAAAAAATATCTCTGTAGCCCAGTCCATCCCCCATGATTCAGAAGTGCCTTGTACATGACATAAATATCTATTTGTTACTCTGAAAATAATCTGTACCGATTATTTGAGAGACAAGAAAACTACCAAAGCCTTTAAAAAGGGCCTTCAGCAAGTCTATCCTTGTTTCAGCGGTTACGCCACGGTAACATTCAGGGTAAGATGTTTGCGATTCTGAATCATACAGGCAGCTTTCCTTGCCATTAGGACTCAAACATAAGATCTTTCTCCTGATAAAAAATTTTCCAGTGTAACCACCATTTTTTACTAGCTTCTGCTTTAAAATTCGGGCAGTTTGTGTAGAATAGTCTTCTATCTCCTCATCCAGTGCCCTGAAAAAGGTGTATAGGACTGGTGGATCGCCCTGGGAAATCAAAAGGGCATCACAGATGACTGTCTGGTTCTTCTGCAAGCCCAGATCCGATGACCAGCTCCAGGAGAAGATCAGCGTACCTTGCGTGACAGACCGAACTTCTTTACGTATTAATTGTTTAAGTCCTTCGTGTTGTAAGAACAGCCTTCCAAAGAAGGTGTCTGGAGTGTCTGTTATCTCTTTTGATACCCCTAGATAAGGAAATAATGATAATGAATTATAAAACACTGGGAACTTCCAATTTAACCCATGACAAAGTAGCTTATATCAGACCAACCCTCCCACCAAAAACAATTACAAAAGCTGTATAAAATATAGCAAACAATAATTTAAAGAACTGGAGAGCAACCAATATAAGCAGGACTGAAAGGGCTACATCCTTTGATAGAAAGGAAGCACAAGAAGTAGCTTCACATTCACCCCTGCTTTTTCACTGAGGAGATTTTCCATAACATGGCATTATAAATAGAGCCCAAGCAGAAATCAGCAGTTTTACTGGACTGAGGAAAAAAAGAGGTCAGAATTCAGGGCTGTCCAAGGAGCTGGAATTTGAGAAGAAAAATCCCAGAGAAGATGAAACTGCAGAGAAGAAGCCAAGATTTTTGTACAAATTTCCCTCAACTCACCAGGCTAATACAGGTGAGGTGCTGGAAACACAGAGGAAAATATCAACTGGGATACTAAAGAGCTGAACATAAATTTTATCAGCCTCATCATGGTGCTGAGGAGCTACAGATTGGAATTCAAGACCCAGAAAAGTAGAAAGGCTTTTGCCTAAATGAAGGCTGCAGAAGAGCCACGGCCTAGTGATAAGAGCAAAATTAAAAGATATTATACCTAGAAAAGCATAAAAGAAAACTTCAAAAGAATAAAAATAATCACTGGTGCTCTATCCACTTGCCAGAAAAAAAGTGTAATCCTCTTTGGAGAAATGTAATATCTACTAAAGTCTCTATAATTTGTAGTCCACGATACAATTAAAAACTAAGAGACGAGATAAAAATCAGGACAAATTGCTAGAAAACAAGAGAAACAACAGATAAGAGAAAAAGACTGACAAGTGCTTCTGATACTGGAGTTATCAAAGAGGGACTTTAAAATAATTATAATATCTTCAAAAACCAAAAGAATTAAGAAAATCAATGAAAAGATGAAGATGTCCTGATTCTCTTACAGCTCAGAAAATTGAAATCTATGGATAAAAATCATGTGGGTATTTTATAACTTACAATATTGGGCCAGGTACAGTAGCTCACACAGATAGAAAAAGAGGAAATGATCCCCAGCTCACTCTGAGTTCAGTATAATTTTGATACAAACACTAGACAAAGAAAGAAAGAGGACTATTATTAGCCCTTATCACTCATGAATTTAGATGCAAAAATTCTAAATTAAATATCAGCAAATTAAATAAATGTGTGTGAAAGAGATAATACTCCAACATCCAATCAGATTTGTTCCGGGAATGCAAAAATGGTTTAATGTAAAACATTAACACACCATTTGCCAACTAACAAATTAAAGGGAAAAACATGATCACGTTAACAGAAGTGGAAAATGTGTTCCATAAAATTCAGTATTTATTCATGATAAAAAAGAAAAAAACATTCTGTAAACTAGTTTAAATTAAACCCATGCTTTGTTCAAGGGGTCAGCTGTACTTGGTAATACACTGGAGTAGTATGGGTAAGAGTGGGAGTTTTCAGTAACTGGAGCTGGGAAAGTGTTATCACGTGAAATAAAATGAGATAGCACTCTACATCACTGTCATTCAGTTGTAGTGCGCTTTTTAAATGTTAAATGTTGCGTGCAAAACTTTAAAATGTTTAGGAGAAAATAAAGGAAAATCTCTTTATAACCCTAGGGTAGAGAAGGATCTCTTACACAAGGTACAAAGAGAATTAAACCACAAAATTTTAAAATGATACATTTGACTATATTAATATTTAAAACTACTACTTAGGAGAATATGTCTTAAGAGAAAATGCAAGCCACCAACTTGGAGAAGACATCTGTAATCTGTAATAATACCTATGATTAAGAGGATTTTATTCTAGAATCTATAAATTACTCCTACAAATCAATAGGAAAAGACACAGCCTATTAGAAAAATGAGCAAAAAAAAGAAAACGCACTTCATAGATGATGAAATATATTTGGCAATAAGTATATAGAGAAATGATCAACTGAATTAATAACCAGGGAAATGCATACCACAAAGAGATATCATTTTGTATCCATTCAACTGGAAAGAAGGAGATCAAATAAGAGAAGCAGAAAGACGAAGGGAAGTTTGACAATTGGAGAAGATGTGGCATTTCTAATATATTCTTTCTTTTTTTCTCCAGTGTTTTATATTTGTATCTAATATATTGTTGATGGGAGTAAAGTGACCCATCTACTTTAGAAAATGATTTGGCATTACCTTATTACGTGAGTATTTGCACAACTCCTGAACCAACAATTCTACTCCTAGGTGTGCACCCGAGAGAAATCTTGCACATATGCACTGGAAGACTGAATGAGAATATTCAAGGTAACTGTTCATATAGCACCAAATGGGAAATAACTCAATTGCCCATCAACAACAACGAAATCAGATAGATAAATCAGAGATGCTGAGCACTGATGGCATTTCTTCAGTACCTGAATACGGCCATGCCTGAAACCTGGGTCTCAATCTAGACTTCCCAGTGATTCGATATGTATACTTCCTTTTCTGTTTAAATTAAACTGAGTTGGATTGCTCTTACTTTCAAGTGAAAGAGTTCCTATTATACCAGGAACTTTCTAATCCAAATCTAAAGAATTAGAATTTGACAGATTCAATGACTAAAAATACCAAAGAATTCCCATAAGCATAAGAATGTGCTCTGAAAACAAATTTGAAGATAGCGCTGACTTGAAGAGAAGTCTTGAACATAGTCACGCCAAGTCCAAAGAAGTTAGAATTAAACTACCTGCATGGGGACATCTCTGCTGTTGACTTTCCCAGTTACGTTTATAAGGAGGCCAACTAGAGGGAACAACAAATGACAACAACAATAAGTGACAACATACTTGTTTGAGAGGTCCATTCTTCAGGAAGCTCTTTGGAAAAACCTTAGAAAACAAAAATCACATTCTTAATTTGGCACAAGGGAGACCCCCAACTAACTAACATACAGTATATCAAAAGTCTACTTAAAACTAACCCTGTTTTCCTAATAAAAACAGTGTTAGGTTATATTCCCAGGGCATATACAAATTGTAAAATTAATCCTTGATGCTGCTAAAACACTCTATACTTGGAATGAAAATTAACAGTAAAATGCATTAATAGTAATGTAATACATTACCATATAATTGGATTTATTTTAAAAGCAGGTCAGATTAGAAGTGGTGATGGCTAGTGAAGGAAAGCTGAGTTTTGTAAGGTTCTGAGGAAGAAGCTTCCATTTTCAGAGATTTTGTAAGTTGCTGGTGCTGGTCTAATTTTGTTTGAGGCTTTCCTTTTCCAAAACCAGATAAAACACCAGTATTATTCTTTTCTTATTGGTATAAAGTAGGGTTACATTTGGCTCACAAATGCAAGAGGAAGAGGGAAGAGGTTTTATAGGAAATAAATGGAAAGGAGGTAAAGAACGGTGTAGGGGCAGGTAAGTAAAAGGGGCAGGTGTTCCTGAGAGAAAGAAGTGGTCAGTTACTAAAATTAAGCTCAGAAAGAAAAAGGAGGACTGAACAGGCATTCCTTGCTAGTAAAGACATGGTAGGGAAGAAACATCTAGGGTTAATTGAATGTTTGCACCAGGTAGGGCTACTGAAAGTAGATAATGTGCTTGCTATATGGAATATCTATCTTCTTCTAAGTGGGTAGAAAAAAACAAGAAGCAGTGAACTGTTGATC